AAATTTAAAAAAAAAACAGCTGTAGTTATGGCTATTTTTCCCACCTCTAAATTAAGCAGAAATGATCAATTAAGTGCTTCTTAATCTATTAAAAAATTAAATATACTTCTGTAAATATATATCAATCAGAAGTAACTATAAAAAAATAAGTAGGAGTGAATGCTTTAAAATATTCAATGAAATTGAATGAATTAAATTCAATGGAATTGAATTGAAACAGTTTTTAATTAATTACAAGATTATGATTCTAAAATTGAAAAAAAAAAATCGTTAAAATTGCGCAAGATATGAGCGTATTAAGTATTTTTTTTTCATATTGCACATGATCAGGAAAAAAAGTACTAAAATGAAAACTTTTTTTGAAGAATTTCGTCGTGAATAGTATTTAGCGTGAATAGTATTTGTGAAGGAAAAACCGATTTGAATATCTTCGAAAAATCATACTGCAAAATTAATAAAATATAATTTTTTTTTCTGCCCGGGTGGGAAAGAACTACTTTAAAAGTGTTTGTATTCCTCAATTTTAAAGATTTTTTTTTTAAATTTTAAAGTGCTTGTTTTGTTGAACTTTATTGAACATTTCTGATGCTTTAGAAAAAAAAATCACAAGTCAATCATTCTTTTATATAAAAATGTCCTTATTTTCATAAATATGTAAGCTAAGCTTACGAAATTTTATGCAACTCTTACAAGTAATAACAAAATGCCCTTTTAGTTATTAAGATGATTGTTACGTTTTCTGGCATAAGATGACACAATACTTATTTTTGTTCGTAATTTATTACTGGACCCTTAGATCATCTATGAAGTTTTTAAGATTAATTAAACTCTTAAAAGTAATAAAATAATCTTCTAGGAATCTTTTGAGACATTCCAAAAAAAAAATTAAAAAAACAAGTCAAAGACTGAAATTGTCTTATCTATTATTGCATAGTAGTGTATATTTAAATTATTTAGTTTTATTTCATAGGTGTTCTATTTGTTACAAAATGTTAAGTACTTCGATAAACACAGTTGTTCCATCTGTATTTTAGAAGCATTCAAAATAATTCTTTTTTTTTTTTTGTAAACACCATTCATTGCTAGTTTTAAAATTTTTGTCAAAAGGTAATTATTTTAGAAAATGATGCAAATTCACAAAAGATAATCCTGATTCATCACAGTAGAATTAAATAATTAAAATACAATTTTATTATTGCAAGTGAAAAATGGTATCGAACGAAAAGCGAACAATTTTAAAATGCGCTAAAAAGAAATTGCTTTTAAATAATTTTATGCTATATTTACAGTAATTGATGGTTTGTCAATCTTTAATAATTTTTATTTCTAAAATATCAGTTTAAGACTATCTATGCGTACAAAAATATTTAGAAATTATTCCAGAATATGAAGAAATGGCCCCATGAGAGTTAAACGCATCATGACTATCCACTCCAATGGAAAAAAAGATTATGTCAAGTACGATGGATTAGCGTTGACTTCCAAACCTGTGACTGTAGGCGTATTGACAAAACATACCGTAGATTGTAAACGTGGCGATTGCAGGTGGAGATGGCGATGGATTACGCGTAAATGTGGTGGGAGAACGAAATTACATTAACCTAAGCAGTGTAATTCGATATTTTCTTCTCCTCCTCGACTAGCCATTATGAATAAAAATAACTCATTAATTCCTTTTAGCAGAGATAATAAAAAAGAAAATAACACCTTTTTATTGTCAGGATTACTTTACAAATACACTGTATTCATATTTTATTAAGCGCTATAATTTATATTTTATAAAACGATCTAGTTTTTTGATAAAACAGATTCAATTTTTTAATTTTTTTTACAAGAATTGTGTTTGCGAAGAAATAAAAATAATTTATTAATGAACCAATCACAAAAAATAACGTAACATTTGAATACTATGTTTTATTGAAACGCTATTTTGAAGAATTAATTCTATTTAACTTTCATTGTAAGAAAACATAACCAGTTTTATTTTAGTGATATTTTCTATGAAATCAATATTCTCTATAAAAGAATAATGTAAGCTTTTTTATAAAGATTATTTTTTTAGAAATTAACAAAGACATATTATTTACTAGAAAAAAAATATTCAAAAATGTTATCACGCTTTAAAGTAATAGTTTCTTGTAAACGAAATAATCAATATTTTTAAAATAAAGTTTGAAAGCGTTTGTTTCATTACTAGAAGCATTCATTATAAAAAAAATATATATTAAATTACTTTTTTGCATAATTTTATGAAATAACTTTTTTTTGGAATGAGATGAGATTTTAAACTTTGTGAAAAATTGATTCAATTCCTTAATATATATAAAAGTCGGTAAATACTTCATTCATTATGGAGGTCATAGATAACTTGATACCTTTTCAATATAAGAATAATAAATGCAATTAATAGAAAATGCACAATTTTAAAAATATATTTTATTTACACGCATTGCGTACAGGTTATAATGCAACTATCATACGTAACATAAATTTATAGATTCCTAAATACTGTTATATGAGTTTGGTAATTAAAAATATAATTAAAAAATAACATAATTAAAAAATAACATAATTAAAAAAAATTTCAACCTTCAATTAAAAACTTCCTGTTGTCATATATTAATAATAATTATAATTTTTAGCAACTTTTTTGGGCACAAATTTTTAATTCTCGAACTTAATACTATCCTTTATATGAAAATATCAGAAAATTTATAAAAGAAAAACTATATTTTAAAATTGAGACATTGGCGACAACAGAGGTTAGATGTATGTGCTGAGTTTAAATAAATTATATGTTATAAAACTCACATTTAAGATTTAGATCAATTTATTATCAGGTCATAAGAGTGTTTTTTAATAAATAAATGTAGTGATTGTTTGATTTACAATTGTAAGGTCCTGGGTGTTTAATGTTAAGTTATACATTTCTTTAGAAATAATATTTGAAATATGCAAAGCAGGGCGGCATTCATTTCAACTTAAAAATCATCAACTTAACTTTCAATAACTATAGATAAATAAAAAACAAAAGTTTGATAAAAACTTTAAAAGAAATACTTTTAGAAAAATTCTTTCTAAATAATATTTAAATAAAACACAATCACTTCGTCTGAGTGATTCTGTAAGAAATTCTAAACTTTACAATTTTACAAGTTAGGTGAAAAGTAAATATCTACAATAGTGGTAGGGAATTAAGGAAATTCTAAATCTAAAGTTTGAGTCCTAGAACGTAAACATCTGATCATTAGATCAAAAGTTAGTTTTAGATTTTTCGTTTATTGCTCACTGTACACTAAAAGGTGATTTTTTTTTCTTTTGAAATTTTGATTTTAATGCCCTTACTTCAACCTCCTTCGAGTTATGCTTACTTTATAAATTTAATCTCAACTTTATTTTTCTTTTCACTTTTAAACTGTAAAAGACTTTTTCTCCATTTGTAAATTATGAAAAAAGTTATTAATCTGATTGCGTAAACAGTTAATTTATTAAAATTGAACATTCTCAATTAATTCCTTTTAATAGTCATTTATATTATTAATAATAATTATTTGCACAAAATTATAATAGAGGAAAGTTTGATTAGAAATTTAAAAGTTCTTGCTACAATAATTAGGGAATTTCTATTGACAAATTCAAGTAATTTTTTTTCCGGAGCAAAATGCATTTTTATTTAAAATGGAACAGTACTGACTTAACATTTATACGATAAAACACTCTCTAATCGCTAACACCGATGACAGGAAAAAAATTTCGTTTTTTTTTTCTTTTCCACAAAAAGTTTAGAACTTAAAATGTTGTTCTTTCATTATAAAGCAATAGCATAATATTCTCGTATCATGTAAAACTTGATAACGAAGTTACTTATCTACCGTTTTACAGTTATAAAATGAAATGATTATTGAATTCTACTTGCATTTTAAAATGTCAATGTATCCATCGTTCAATGAATTTTACGATTATTTTTATAAAACTGTGTATAATGAACATTTCAACTAAAAAAATTAGTACAAAATAGCTGCTAATAATTCTCTTAAACATTTATAAATATTATACATTTATAAATTTCAGCTTTTCGCATTATTGCTAAATAACCTCTACGTCGAAAAATATTTAAGGAATTCCATAATAACTGAAAATTAAATAAAATTTAAAAAAAATTGTAAATGGTTATCGAGCAGAACCATTAAGTTTAATTAATGAATATAGAATTAGTAACAAAGTCACTGCTGAACAATAATTTTTTTTTTAATCTTTTAAGTAAACAAACTTTATTGTAATAATCATTTCATTATTAAGGATTAGAGGTTATTGTGAAATTATTAATTTTAATAAGTGGATGAGTAGGTAAAGAAGTTCACTACTCGAAATACGCGTATACATTTAATGAAAGTTATGAAAATACAGAAGGGGGCTATGGAGGTAATAATATATAATTTTTTTTATCTTAGTTTTATTACGATCTTCTAAAAAACGCTAATAAACACAATTATGTTAACAAATACAAACGATTATGTCGGAGCTATAACAAAAAAATACGCTTTATATTTCATTTAATGCAGAAGAATCTAATGAAGATCAGCTTATTTGAAACTCTGAAATGTGACACCCATATATAACTTGGTGAATGATAGATACGTGATACCGAAAACAAAACAAAAACATAAGCACACAGCTGTTTGGCGATTTGCGAGACGCTCCTTCAACGCCGATAGATATTTTCGCCAACCCCTTTACAATCTACGGTATGTTTTGTCAATACGCTGACTGTAGAGGGAAGGGAGGTAACTTCTACTGTTGAACACCTGTGCTTTTGGATAAAAAAGGATTCTCCCATTTTTTTTATATGGTAATTTTTTAAAAATTATAAATTTAACTATATTTTTAATCCTAATATTGATTTTATTTTGTATATTAGTTTAATTATATATCTATATTACTATATTTTTATTAGAAATGTAATCCTATTTTTTAAATAAATCATCTTAGTACTTTTTGTACAGAAAATTAGTTTGAATTTTTATTCAAGAATGTTATTTGAACCAAAATGTAGAGTTAAAAACTTCATAAAGTTTACAAAACAGTCAACAGGCACCATTTGCTACAAATAGTTAAAAAAATAATAGAGGGCACCCAATAAAGGAGCTTGTTCAATAATAGCAACCACACATTAGCTTGGATAATATTCCTGGTCATTTTGAAAACAATTTTCGTTATGCGGAGTTTTTGGAACACGTAGAATTCCACTGAAACATAATTGTCACGTTTTAGATTGCATGCGATTGTTATCGAAATACAATTTCCACGAAATAGATTTTATCTATTTTTCGTGTAGTTCTTCTTAAAACTTCTTTATCAGTTATTTTAATCATGAAATTACTAGATTTTGTCGTATCGGTGTATCAATATAAAAGGAAAGAATTGTACTTATTGAATACTTATTTAGTATCTGCACAGTTTAGAAAAGCGAAAAATATGACTTTTAATAAAGTAGTTCTCTTACTCGTTTTACTTGTCCTGCTAGTCCAATCACGTAAGTAATTTTCTATTCAAATTTTCCTTCCAGTTATTTGATATCATAATCTTTTAACCGATGTCAAATGGCAATAGTCTTTTAAGAAGCATAAGCAATATGCATAGTGCTCAAAATATAAAAGTGAACAAATTAAAAACTTTTGCACAGATTCATAAAAGAATGGAAATTAATTACACCGTTAGAAATGTTTCGAAAAAATGGTTAAATAACAATTCATTATATTGTTATTTTACCATCTTCAACTTAAACAGTCAACCGTAAAAAGGTGGCGTTTAAAATTTTTTCCGAAAAAAAAAAACGTTTGCTGACAGTTTTTATTAAATACAGTTAAATAACCAGAATTTTAATTTCGTCAGCAACGCTTCACCTTATGCAGCCATTTGGATTTTGCACCTAGGATTTTGAATTGGTTTTGCCTACTTTAGCCAAGAGAATTAATTTGTCATTCTTATGACTGGTTGAGCATGTCCTAGAATCCCAGCATTGACACAACTTTATTTCCTTTATTTTTTTTAACACATAGGAAGTTTCCAGTATCTTGCACTCCTAAATTGGTAACTCTGAAACATTACAGTACGAAAGCTCATTAACGCGCTGATGGGAGCAGCAAAAACCTGTTTTGTAAAAAAAGTATAGTATTTTTCATCTTTCGCGATTGAAAATAGCAACTTTAGGTAAACTAATTCCATCACATTCCATGGTTTACGTGACAGAACACAATTCATCCACAACCTAATGCCAATGTCTGTTGAATAAATCTTAACATCAACTAAGTCAAATTAAATTTGCTTTTTACGATTTTGAAGTCATGCCTGCTGAAAATGGTTACAAAACTGTAGTTTAACATTTACAATTTTTAAAAAATGCTGTTTGTGAATATTTTATACAATTGAAGTTTTCCTAACTTTATGCTTAATTTGATGTTCAATATGCATGAGATTTCTTTACCGTAATTTTAGATTGAAAATTCCAAGACTATAGGGCACATATTAAAAAAAAGAGAAGCACAGTAACAACCGAATTTGATTGTTCAAAGGGCTATATTTAAAAATACAAATTTATTAGTGCATATGATCTTTTAAATAACGAATGCAGAGAAAAGTTGTACTTTCTCTAAACAAACGTAATTTTTTTTTAAAAAGATTTCGAGCCTGTGCCTAAACAATCTTCCCCTCACATTAATTGCAATATTTTCTCATATTCTGCAATATGAAGAATATGTTTAAAATAATGTCTTTTTTTTAAATATTTATGTTCAAAATCATATTTTTTTGAATTTTGAATGATCAGTCATCCACCTATTATAAATTAACTACGTTTTTGCTAGTTTGGCAAATCTAAATAAGGATAATAAATAAAAATCTAAAATAATTAAAATATTCTTAAATAAATAAATATTCCAAAATAGAGAAATACTTATTTAGATTTCAATTTCTTGATGGGAAGCCAAAACTAAAAATAGTTCCATATATTCAATCATTAATTATGAATCAACTCAGTGAACTCAATTTCACACATTCCTCATAAAACGGTAATGTAATTGATTTTTTTTTATTCCAACTTCCTTATAGGATCCCAAAATTTTAAATTATTCTTTTGTTTTATCAGACATCAATATGAATAAACATAACGAAGGTTTATCCCTTTCGATGTCCTCAAAATTGAAAGAAAGTAAAATCTTTTCCTAAAATTTTAACTTCCTTATTGGATTCCAAAATTTGAAATGATTCTTTCGATCATTTTTATTCACTCATCCATCAAACCCCTATATATACAGTGGTGGCCAAAGGTGAGGACATTTTTTGAAATTTTCATGTTTTTCAACTTTGTGTGCTTGTAGAATATATTAATTTTCATTTAAATACAAACGTTTACATATCAAATTGAAAGTAATTTAATGTAGAATTTAATAATAAATGCAGTATTACAATATCTGTATTACAAAAAAAGTTATGCAACTAATAGTAAGATCATTCTTAGATTTTTATTTTCCTAAAGTGATACTTACACAATCAATACTTAGTAGGATAACCCTTATTTTTTAAGACAGGTTCACAGCGTCTTTTCATCGAGTGAACGAGTGTGTGGAGTTTATCTTTCGTAATCACATGGTGCCAAGAATCAATTATAGCTTCACTTAGCTGTCTTCTATTGGATGGACGTTTTTTTCGTACAAGAATTTTCAAACGTCGCCACAAATTTTCAATTGGATTGAGATCAGAGCTGTTTCCTGGCCATGGTAATATATCTATGCCTTTATTTTGAAACCATGCTTTGCATACTTTTGCTGTGTGGCATGGAGCTGAATCCTGCTGAAAAATAAATGGTGCGTTGTTGGGGAAGAGATCCCTGATGGAAGGTATCAATTTTGGTTTCAGGATAATTTCGATGTATTTTTTGGAATTCAGGATGAACCGATACCTACCGAACCTACCGATAGAAAAATTAAACGGCTATGCCTTCAAGATAGAAAAATTTCATCAGATGCCATTAGATGTGAAATGAATGCAGCGGGTATTGCAGTAAGTTCAAGAACAATAAGAAGAAGGTTTTCGGGATTTGGACTACAAGCAAGAATTACAAGGAAAGTACCATATTTAAATCAAAAGCAACGCAAAAAACGAGTTAATTGGGCAAAAGAACACATTAAATGGTCAGAAAATCAATAGAAGCAAGTAATCTGGAGAGATGAGAGTAAAATATTGCTCTTTGGTAGTGATGGTAGAAAATACGTGAGGCGTAGAGTAGGGGAAGCACTTCATCCTGATTGCATTGAAGCAACTACAAAAAATCCAACAAATGTCATGATTTGGGCATGTATGTCTGCAGATGGTGTGGGCCGAATTCAAGTGATTGATGGCATACTGAATACCAAAAAATATTTCGAAACTGCCCTGAAACCAAAATTGATACCTTCCATCAGGAACCTCTTCCCCAACCGCTCACCATTTATTTTTCAGCAGGATTCAGCTCCAAGCCACACAGCAAAAGTATGCAAAGCATAGTTTCAAAATAAAGGCGTAGATATATTACCATGGCCAGGAAACGGTCCTGATCTCAATCCAATTGAAAATTTGTGGCTGCGCTAGAAAATTCCTGTACGAAAAAAAACGTCCCTCCAATAAAAGACAACTTATTGAAGCTATAATTGATTCTAGGCACCATGTGATTACGAAAGATGAATTGCAAACACTCGTTCACTTGATGAAAAGACGCTGTGAAGCTGTCTTAAATAAGGGTTATCCTACTAGGTATTGATTGTGGAAGTATCACTTTAAAAAATGCAAATTAAAGCTAGATCTGACTATTAGTTGCATAACGTTCTTTGTAATACAGATATTGTAATACTGTATTTATTACTAAATTCTACATTAAATTATCTTCAATTTGATGCGTAAACGTTTGTATTTAAGTGAAAATTAAAATATTCTACAAGAACACAAAGTTGAAAAACATGAAACTTTAAAAAAATGTCCACACCTTTGGCCACCACTGTATATCCGCTATGNTATATATATATATATGATAAAATTGTTTTTGATTTTTACATCCTTATATCCTTATTTATTTAAAGATTAATTATTTGCAGAGGCTGATGAAGGTTCAGGTAGGTGTCTTGTAGTAATAAATCAAAATGTGCCGCACAGTTTCTTATATGACAACAAAAAAATCATTCAAATTGACAATCCTATGCAGGGATAATTTTTCAAACGAGTTTATTAAATTTATCTGAATTTAAAAAATAAATATAGAATAACAAAACTTCGTCAAAAACCTTTGGACTTTAAGTCTACATTTGTCTGCTGCTATGGAAGCATGAGAAAAACTAATTCCAGCTGGAAATTCCGTAACTTGCTTAATCCAAATTAATGCGAAACATTAACATACACCCATTAACGTTAACCTCTTGCCTGTTTATATGGAATTGATGGGATGAACAGTTAAATAAGACTTGTAAACAAAAATTGCAATCGTATACTTGTATTTATTTACTCATATCGTGTTCAAATACAGGTAAGTAAGGTTTTATCCCCTATATGTTTTTTCTCGCTAAATCGAATGAAAACAAATACAAATAAAACGAATTAAAATTTCTGAAGTTGCAGTTTTTTTATAGAATGCACTATATTTTAAATTTTAACTATGATGAAGAAATTCCTCGTAATTTCTAAGCTATGCTATTATCTAATCATGCAAAATTACTAGGGAAAATGTACCTTGCATGCTTCAAGAGCAATGTAAAAAGTAAAGTGATTTTAACTTTTAAACTATTCAATCAAATTAATCTTGTAGAGTATTATTCAATTTTGGTTCCAAAAAAATCACTGGGAATATCGCCTCATTAGCTTGTTTGGAAGGATTTCAATTGTTCCCGTCAAATGTGAGAAACGCACAGCAGTGAGTAAGAGAGTTTCAGATATCATTTACAGTGACATAACAAAGCATTCTGCCAAAAAAGAAGATACATTTAGTGAAGAAACACCATTTTATTTTACCACGTTTATATAAACTTGCCTTCGTGTATGTCTGTCCGGGTGGAATTTTGTAATCGATTTTAAACTAACTTCCCGACTAGCTACAAACTTCAAATTTGGCACATAGTTCAGAATTGGATGACAATGCATGAAAATGAAGAGAAAAAAGACATACAAAGTAAAATTAAATTAAAATTTAAAAAAAATAATTATTTTCGAGATTGTCTTTTGTTGTCGATTCCATTATCTCAAATTAGTATTACGTGTCAGGTGAAAAGATTTTTATTGTCGGAGTATTTTTATTGGCTGAAAAATCACGTGGCAGGATCCAGTTTTTCCTCATTCATTTCCAGATTGTTTTGGTTGTCATCAGCATAAAACTAATGAAAGTCGTAAAGGTATTGTAGGTATCAAATTCTTTTCCCTATTGTATCCCTAATTTAAAATAAAAGTTCTATTATTTTAGTAGTGGTCTTGTAGTAGTCTTGACTACTCTTGACTCAGAAAAATAATCTAAATAAAAATATATAGATTTTTAAAAACCACGTTTTTTGTAGTGAAGAATAATAATTGAAAAGTAATAATTTAAATAAAATATAAAATAAAAATTAAAAAAAATTATAATTTAAAATAAAAAAATTCAAAGTAAAAAATATTTTTAAATACCACCTTTTTGTAGTGGAGAATAATAATTTTTAAAAAAAATTGAAAAACGAAAAACGTGGGACGCATGAAATACATAACAGTACATATACACATTTTCTTACTCATACAGATGCACAGTCACATATACATTCACATACATATGCATATACACAAACATACTCCGCATCCACATTCAGATACAATTGCAATTACAGATATACATACACATATTCTCAAGAGCACACATACAAACACTAATATAACATTACTGTTATGTACTTCATGCGCCCCACGTTTTTCGTTTTTCAATTTTTTTAATTATTATTCTCCACTATAAAAATGTGGTTTTTAAAAATATTTTTTACTTTGAATTTTTTTTAATGCTTCATTTACTGAACTAAGATCTATATCACGGAAGCCTCGTCAGGTACGGGTTAGCTAATCTCCCGCGTGAAGTCGATTGCAGGTATCTAATTTAACAGTATCCAAAAATTGATTCAGCTTGATAATAAATCCAATCCTCTACCCTCTCGCGACGTCTGACACAAATACGTGCCAGCATGAAACGTTATCAATCGAGGAAAAAAGATAAAGCTGATTACTATACTAATTCGTTATCAGTTTCATTGAAGCCGGGGTTACAATATTTTGATTTATTTAAGTCATGACAAACGCAGTTCAAAAAAAATTATATAGCTTACTTTTGAAAAAATATTGATCATATATGTGATCAGACTAACAATGATTAAAGTAAAACCAAAATGAATCTGTCAAATCAGCAATGCTTGCATTTAAGCTGCAGCTCTTTTATGAATTGATCAGCCTCAAGGTGTAAAAGCTGTATTATTAGCACGAAGGGCACAAGCATGTGATTAATATACAAATATATCTATGCTGCACAACAAAAATGAATTCAAGTGTTCATTGACACTAGTACTAAGAATCACGGATTGTTCTCATGCTGCGGTTAAGAGCATGTAGAATAAAAATGTGCAATAATTTCAGCCAATTCCTTCTCGAACATTAATATTGTTTTTTTTTCTATAAACTAGAAGTTTGAAATGTTTTATATTATATATTTTTGGATATTTTATTCATTTGTAGATAGTATCATATTAAAAGTATTAATCGTTCTTATATCATTACATTTTGATCCTTATCCTTATTACATTAAAACAAAACGTATTAATGCTAATTATTGCAACATGTGTCATAACTCTGGCTCCTGGAGAAACTGAACTTTTGTTGACCTTGGAATACATAGCTAATAATACTCGCAGAAAATAAAGCGCAAAATTAAATACATCTATTTTGCATTCGAATGAATTGAATTTCAGGCTTTATTGCAATATGAGATCTACCTGCAGAGTTCCTAAGGGGATGAATAGGTGCCTCAACTATAAAGACAGCAATACTTAACCATAAAAACCGTAAGTAGTATAGCATAAACGTGGCAGTGGCAATTACCTTTTAAAACATGAATGTACGGGTAGTATCAATGGGGAAGTTGTATTAAAACAACTATTAAAGGAACAATTATTTATTTAACAAATATTTAACCTATTGGGTTAATAACGAATTTTAATTCGTCATTAGCAAGACAAATATAGTTAAAGATGAACTGAGTACTTAAGTTTGGCAACAATGTTTAAAGGTTTTTATCTGTGGTACAATTTTAAAATAATTGACTTATTAAAAATAATTTTGTTTTCTTATTTTAATTTTTATCTTTCATTATAAATAATTTTTCAGACTTTTTTAAGCGGAGTAAGTAGTTGCAGTTTCTTAATCACCATATTTTGCAAATTTGTTTTAAATATTGACTGTTTTTTTAATATTTTGTCAAATTAACTTTGAATAAAAGATGCAAAAGAAGATTAAAAAAAAAATGTTACAAAAGGCGTTCCTGTTAATTTCGCAGAGTCGGTAACTTTTTCTCAGTAAGTAACTCAGTAAGAATATTTCAAAATATTTTTCTATTTTCGAAATTTAAACCGTCCATGACTACTCATTAGTAAGAGCTATTATCTCTCTTCAAACTGAGCCACGGCAGCTCTTTAGTTATGAAGAAATTTTCAAGTTATGAAAATTTAGTCATGAAGAAAGATCTCATTGATATCATATTTGAATACAAAAACGATTTAAACTATCTTGGCTTTATCAGAATGTCTGGCAATTCAACTTACCAATATATATATATATATATACAAGTTTAGGACAAAAAATAGGAATACCTGTGAAAGAGTGGATTCGTCCTTCGACCCTCTAATAACCGGTAAGCACTTGTCGCAAGAGTGTGCCACTTAGTGGTGATGAAAGGAAAGGTATCAGTCTAGCATTTGGCTGTGTGAGAGTTGCATGAGAAAAGAGATTATGTCCGCCCTCTCTGACCTTAAAAGATGCATGATAATCCGAGCTTGCCTTGCTGGAGCGTCCATGTCCAGAAAATCAAATTTTGTGGATGTTTAAAGGACCACTGTATCAAGGACTCTGTTGGCATGCACAAAGTTGGGTAAGGTGTCTTCTGTCAAGCACAAGAGCTTCAGTAAGTCGAAGGTGTCGGACCGTGATAGACGGGTGTTGAAGAGGATTTTCGCTCGAAAAAGCAAGTCTTCACTGCCGTTGATAACGTCCGAGATGAATACCCACCTTCAGAACCCAGTATCTATGAAAACTATTCAACGGGAGTTGCATGCCGCTAACATTCATGGCAGAGTAGCTATTCCAAAACCGCTAGTTTCAGCGCGGAATGCTTTCAAGAGACTACAGTGGTGCCTGCACCAACTAATTTAACTAATATTTTCCTTTTTCATTGAATTGCTTCTTGTGATTTTGACTTCTTGACCGGGAACGTTCAAAATCTGGATTTTTGCATCTTCAAATGTTGCTCTTGATGGACGAATACAGCTTAACTTCGAAATTTGTACTTGCAATGACTTGATTCGCACTAAAAGGACCGGAACGATGACATCGCTCCTGAGTAGCCATTTTCTCTACTCTCAAAACGGGATTTTTTCAGTGGCGTCATCAATTTTGGAAACAACCAGGAATCGCAGGGAACCAGGTCTGGGAAGTAGGGAGGTTGGTGAATGGTTGTAATTCCATGTTTGGCTAAGAAAGTGTGAATCAATTGGGAAGAATGCTCAGGGACGTTGTCGTGATGCAAGTGCCTGTTGTTAGCCGTCCACTTCGCCAGTTGTTCATCGGTGGAACCACTCCTAAATTTGTATTACACCCATCGCTTCTTCTCCAAACACCTGTTGAATCTTACGAATTGTTTGGCTTTGAGAATCACCAAGCTTTTGACAAAATTTGATGCAGTATCTTTGCTCAATTCGCTCAGTCATCTTGTGAGAAAACTAAATCCGACGAACACTACGAACAGCACCTTACTTGGCGTCCACCATCCAGCGACTTGCACAAGGGAACGCGGTGAAAAAATTCAAACACGTGCATTAAGGTTCTTCCTTCCACCGTGCACTGCTACGCCGCCTTAGAATCACTACTTTGTGAGGGAAAAATTAAGGTCGGATACTTTCCAGACAGGCCTCGTATTTCCAGTTTTTCAATCTAAGATGACGGAATTTTTACACTTACTTTGTTTAGCTCCTGTTTGCTATCCGTGTTTTTTTCCTTATCGCAATCATCTGCAAGCGCCATTTTAAGGGTCACCAGATTGTCGGACAATTATGTTACGTCGTATCAGAGTGTTAAATAGATAACTTCCTATGATAGCAAGTGACAATTTAATAAAATAACTTATACTTAAATATTTACAGCTTGCTTATTATCAATAAATGGAATACAATTTTTATCACAACAAAAGAATTGCATTCATGCTTTCGTGAAAAAATACATAATATATAACTATAAAAATATTAGATATATAAAACGAAAATACGAAGAAAGTACTTGAAGAAATAAAAAGCAAAACCGAAAACGTGGAAGAAAAATTACTAAAGTAATACATTTATTTTAAAAAATCTTTTAAAATTTAAATAAAATTTAAAAAGCTATAAAAAATAACAAATATGTATAATCTTGTTGTCATTTCACACTATTATATCCTCAAACTATAGTGCTTTCTAATACTGTATTGATATTGCCAAAGAAAAATATATCAATAAAATAATGTGAGGAGTGCCAAAATATTGATACAAAAGTAAAACATAATAAGCAAAATACACTAAAATATAAGAAAATACAGAATAAAAGAAAAATTCAAAATGAAACACGGATAGCAACATATAAAGCTAGAGCAGACGCACAATTACTTTCTGATAACTTATAAAAACGATTTAAAAATATTTTCGTCGTTAGTTTGCGTAGTTAGATTACAAAATATAAAATTAAGGCGTTAAATGGAGGATAGTGTTTAACAGTTAGGGATTTTATTTCGCGTTAAGCTTTATTTACTGCTCATAAGCTGCAAGTACATTGAACACATAATATAAAATAAGAAGAGAAAATAATGCAAAAAAGTAAAAGAAAAAAAAGAATTTGTATAAAAGAGGAAGAATAAAAAATAAAAGATTAAAAAAAACTAAAATAAAATTGCTCGGTAAACTTCAGAAAAAGTTTCAATGAAAATATATATTCTTGTCATCAACTCACATGATTACACCGGAAAAAATATTTCTATCTAATATTGTATTAAAAGAAACAAAGCAAAATATATCAATTCAATACTACCAGTACAATAGTAATGGACATCATCAAAAAGTAAGATTGATTCGTCAGCATAATTTCATCAAGTAAAAGTTTAATATAAATTCAAGCAGAAGCTAAAATAAAACAAAATATGGACCATATAAAGGGAGAAGAGCGAAAGATGTTATGTACTTATGAATAGCTTACCAAAGTAATTAAAAATTATTTTCGTAATTAAGTTATCATATTACAAAATAGGAAATTAGAAAGCTGTTTGATTCACAAACAGGAGGTAGTCGGACATATTTTAAAGACTCGTTCATACTGAAGTCAAGAACAGCATTTGCTTCATACCTTTCATTTGATTGGCCTAAAAACTGGAGTTGCGTAAAGTAACATATTATACTGAATAATTCAAAATAATTTTTCACTAAATAATGCTTCAATTTTAGATCAAACATTTTTATAGAAATTATAACATTTATTGTATAATATTTATGTTTTAATTGTATATTGGAGAAGCTTGTAGATTACGTATGAAATTTAAAATTGTTTAATATGTAGAGACATAATGTTAATTTTTGGTTGCAACAAGATTTGACAGAATTGGATTTCCACATGAAAAAATATTAATTTAGATAACTTAAAATTTTTAGATAAATAAAAGTTTTAGATAACTGAAAATATAAGTAACCACCATTAATTTCAATATGCAATTGCCTTGATGATTTTATATGGATTTTAATTAAGTTTATTGAATAAATGTTGCTGTTAACCAAACTTTGAAAAAGTATGTCTGTTTGTTTGTTCAATAAAATAATATTGCTCCAAATTCTTTTTAATTTTTTTATTTATTAAACTAAAATACAGAGATTCCAACTGCTCCGAAAACGTCAAAATAATTTTAAAATTGATAAATAACTTCAAATTAAAATTTGTAAATATTTGATAAATCTTGCTCACTTTTTAATACGTTCAGCATGACTAAGCTGAAATAAAGAGGAGAATTTTATAAGTCTCCGAATTATTTAAAAATAGCGGTGGATAATGACCTAATAAATTGAATTTATTAAGCAAATAATCACAATTAATAAAATACCACTCGAAAATATTAGTTCGTTGTCCGGAGCACGTTGGCATCTCTGAAAATAGTAAATAAATAAGCATTTTTTTAAAAGATTGGTATTCCACGCTTTTAGATTAACTTAAAATCATATTTTTTTATCGTAGACATCAACAATGCGGATATTTTTTCCATTTTTCAAGATATTAAAATGAATATTATCGTCATGATAATGGTGCAATATTTATTTCTAGTGATAAATATTATTTTAAAAAAATATAGAATAAATTTAGGATTGATGGTTATTGTATTTTGTGGAAATAAATATACTAAGAATTGAGATTCAAGAATTGTTTAAGCATATTTTAAATTATCATACACGCAATCAACACATTTTGTGTCAACAACTATGAAATATTGATCACAAAACTTTCTAGGAAATAAAGTAAAAAGAGCATTCTTAGCAAAATATATTGTATTTTTTTAATCCATCACTTTCAAAAAATAAAACTTTATCAGATCTTTTTTCAATAGTTTTCAAAATTCGTAAGAGTTTCATGGAACCACTGAGTGCAGCTAATAATTTTTATCAAGTCATAATTTTTTGATGTGGTACTGTTTTCTTCTCCACCACATCTAGCACGCTGATAGTGATCCAATTCTGAGTCTATAGAATTGGGTAATTTTTATAAGATACTGCGGAGTAGGTTATAGGAGTTTATTGGATTTTATGTTAAATGTTTAATATCGGAATCAAATATGCATGCATTTCTACTTTTCTTATAAATTTAAAAATAATTTTCTTATAAATTTATTTATTTTTGTCAACATTTCAGATATCTTTAAAGAACGTAAGCTATGTTATAAATGCATTTTTTTAAACTATTTTTGATCTCTTGAATAAATATTTTGGATTTGTCTGATGTTTTTGCTTGATTAAATTATGATAACGTACCTCATTGTTTGGTGTTTCTCATAATATTATAATGATGATTCTGCTTCGTCTTTATGAATGAAATATCAGATAACACTAATTTTGGGGATATAATAAAGGGGATTGGAGACGAGATAATATATATTTTCTATGCAAATGCTTTTAATTAAAATAATGTTTGTCTCAGTTTTTGATTGTTGATATTTACAAGGATTTTGATGTCTATTTTGCTTAAAACGAATCATTGAAGATACCATTTTTAATTACGCAACAAATTTAATGAAACAAAAAAAATACATAAAGTAAAAATCAGGAGCATAATATCTTTACACGAGCACAACCTATGGACTCTTCCACCAATCTAAAAATAAAGAGAAAGCGTTCTTGTTCCCTTTAGAAGGTCCTCCCAGTCACGAAATTGATATTTTCCTTTATATAGCTCCGAATTTCACTTTTACATCTTTTGGAGAAGCACTTGACTTCTCAAGAAAATGAAGTGTCTAATTGAAAATGCTAGAGAGAAAAAAAATATATACGTTGAAAAAAATAACTGATAACTATTTACAAAGTTGTACATTTTCAGCACAGATTATTACATTCTAAACATTTATATAAAGAAACTATATGCATTATGCTTATATTAATTCACAAGACAGGTAATCTTGACGAGGCATCTGCGTTGCATGTGCTCTACCTTTCCCTCGTGCATTTTTAACATTTTGCCTCTGGAATACTAAGGCCCACTTTGTCAGCTCTGCACTATATTTCAAATAAGTGACCAGGTCATGATCGGAAATGTTTTTAATTTGTGAATTAAATATTCAGTTTTTTTTGCCTTTTGATAACTTTTAACTAAAAAATGCAATTGTCATTTCTTTTCCGTGTTAATCAGTTTATGATAAACAGGCTCCAGATGCAGTTGTACAAGCGCCAGTAAATAGTTGAATTGGTCACTCCATATTGGCATTTCAGTTAACATTTCTTTGAGTGTAGAAAACGACTGTTCGGCTAAGTCTTCAAAAGGGATATTGTTTGATTCTCGTTTTCGTTTTTCATGGTAAGGTTGGTCAAAGGTAAGATTATATCTGCAAAATTCAGAATATAATCTCTATAATAGCTAGCCAAACAAAGAAGACTTGACTTCCTTATCATGTGCTAAGATCAACTGCACAAATAAGGCATGAGCTCTTTTAAATTTCTCCCAAGTGGTTCATTGCAATCAACACTTCGAACCTCGAAGGAATTTTGATGATGAACAATTGGCTGTATGAGTATACGTTTTCTATAATTTAGAAATTTTTTAAAAAATCAGATCTATCCTAGAATCAGAAATTTTTTTTTAAAAAAATGACAAGATAAGGAAAAGATATAATCTTGTCATGAACTCAAGCAATTATATCCAGAAAACTGAGTGCTTTCGAACATTGTATAAATATAACCTAATTAATTAAAACACATTACAATAAGTTAAAGATCACCCAAAAAAGTGAAAATATATAAAAATGAGCAAACAAAAAATTCAAAACAAAGCAATCACGAAAAAAAATATAATAAAAAAATACGATATAGAACTTACATTTTATTAATATAAATTATTTAATATATAAAGCGAACAGCGTATCCAAATGTATGTACACTTACCATCGTTTTTTAAAATGATTTAAAATATTTCCGTAATAANAAAATTCAAAACAAAGCAATCACGAAAAAAAATATAATAAAAAAATACGATATAAAACTTACATTTTATTAATATAAATTATTTAATATATAAAACGAACAGCGTATCCAAATGTATGTACACTTACCATCGTTTTTTAAAATGATTTAAAATATTTCCGTAATAATCTTGCCAGGTCAGAAAATATGAAATTAGAAGCGTAAATAGGGAATGATTGGACAACTTACGGCATGTTCTTACAGAAGTAGAGATACGCTTTTGATTTATTAGTTACAATGGATTGACCCGTATCTGGATGGACCCGAATCTGAATATGAGCAAGTTATTCATAATTTACAGGATAATTTAAAGTTTAAAAGTGACATGGTAGAAATTTAATTAAAAAAATTTAATATTCATGTGATTCAATTTTAAAAAGTTTTATATTGAATATTTTGGAAAAAACTATTAGCATTTTGCGAAAAAAATAATTTTTTATTTAAAAAAAATTCTTTAGTAAATATTGGAAAAATTTTAGTCGCATATTTGCTAGATGATATTGAATTTATTAAAAATAAACTAATTACATGGCATTCTAATATTTCTAAAAACAGCAATTTAAATACCATTTTTAATCAAATGAATAGAATTAAAAGAATTTGTAGTCATGTCAATTGATTTAAAAGACAAAAAGACGAACTCTTGCAAAATTTAATTAAAAACAATTAATTTCCAAGTAATGTTAATAAATTCTATGTAAAATCGTTAAGTTAAATGTAAGTTATAATTAAAATTTTCTCTGTTAACTAAATTTATGTTTTTACCTAGCGCAAATCCAATTCGGGCATATCAGTTTCAAAATATCTTCCATTATTTCACAAAGAATTGTTTTAAAGATAGTTTTTTTCTCTAATTGTTAATAATTTCGCTAAAAATATCAATTATTGTTTTTCCTTATTAATATTAAAATCAAAATTCATCCTTATTAATGTTAAAGTTTCGCAATTAAAAGTCAACCTTATTAATATAAAATTTTATAATTAAAATTCAACTTTATTAATTCTTAACTTTAATTATCCAGTATAATATGAAAACCTTGTACGCATCCAAACTCGAGCCTACCCAAAGAAACTAAAAAATAAATGCTTTGTACTTCACTAAGATCTTGTCAAAAGTTGATGCCATCATTCTGAATTTATGCATCCATTATTATATTCTGTTATCTGACAAACTTTTTTCTGATACATTTTAAACATTTTTGACAAACGCCGTTAAATGTAAGTACATCTGTACTTGCTGTTCGCTTTAGATATAAAATTTTGAGTTTAATTCTGCATTTTCTTGAAGTTTTTTTTTTTTTTTTTTTTTTAAAGTTCATTCTTTTTAATCTATTGTTCTATTTTGAATTTTTTGCCTCATTTTGCATTTTTTGCTTAACAAGTTTTACCTTCCTTCAAAGTTGAACTGTCTCCTCAAACTATTGTTTTGATATATTTTGCTTAGTTTGGCTATATTAATACAATATTAGAAAACACTCGTTTTTTTTTAAAAATTATTAGAAAGCATTCATAAATAATAACGTAAGCTGATGACGAGATTATATCTTTTCATATATAAATAAATATTCGATACGTATATACCTAAATGTAGTTCAAAATGTAGAGAAAACATGGAAAAATTGTGCTATATATATTTTGTTTCATTCTTCTCGTTATTTTTAATTTAAATTAAGTTCTTCTTTCTATAAAAATAAAAGTATTTTTTTTTATTTCATCTATATTTTCCTTTATCAATTATATTTGTAGTTTCGGAACGTTTGGGTAAGTAACTATGATTTCAATTGCATACATGTCATTTATGGCAATTTACTTTTTCGTTTAGTCCTAAATTATCATTTTTAGCAATAATGCATTGAACATTTTGTACAAAAAAACAAACAAATAAGGATAGAATGGATTGTTTTGATAATTTATTTGTAAAATCACAAAAACTGAATATCTTATTATGGGATCATTTTGCATGGCCTAAAAAAGAACATTATGGCCACTTGCAGGTGCTTGGTAATAATTTTTATTGTTTGAAAATAATAAAAATTACTTCCCAATGTAATAATTGATACAGTTGGTAGTAATTTCAATGAAAAATAACCTTTTTTCTTAGATCTAAATAACTGTAAATAAGTGCAAATTAGGAAAGTTATTTTTTTCAAGTGAGCCGTGTTTGAAAAATTTTAACTTTTTACGATCATAAAGATTCCTGTGTTTCATACTGTATTCCATAACCATAATTTAGCATTTTTCTCTTATTTTAACCTAATTTAAGTTTTAATTAAAAGAGTTTGAAAAATAAGTTAAACAAAAATTCTGCTTCAAAGGGTTAAGGTCAAAGTTACCGATATAATGATTCATTGTTGATGTGATTTTTCTGAAAGTCTAAGTGAATCAACAAATTTTGATTTTTCTTGTTATTCTAACTTTTAAAATCATTTAAATATTCATTTCTTATTATTTATTATTCATATAAATTTCATTTTAAATTTTTGCTGGTACACATCTATTTTGCATTTTTTATGACTACTTAATCCCTCAGATGAGGCATATGCGTAATCACTCCTATGGTTAGAGGGACAGGTTCCTCAAAAATTAACACTTTCACGAATAATGGCAAGGAGTTGATGGATTAAACTATAATTTTCTGAAAAAAGTTGTATTTTGAAGATGTTGAAATATATTTGGTTTGCGAAAAAATAAATTCATGAAACTTTTATGCAAACATTATAAATTTTTAAAAGTTTATGATAAACATAATTTTATTCATTTGTAAATGAATCTTATAAATCATCAAAGAATAGTTAGTTGAAAAAATTCTTTATCAGCGATCGCGATAGAGTTCAGATCTAGTAATGCTAAAAACCAATCACTGTGATTGGAAAACTAAATTGATTGTAACAAAAACTTTTCTTTTAAATTAAAAGTGAAAAAGAAAGAAATATAAATGATTAAAATATAAGCTTTTGGGTCATAAAATTCAACATTCTCTAATATATAGGTGTTAAATAAATCATAAAACAAGCGAACCCTGAGAACCATTCTACTAAAAAAGTAACACATTTAACAGTTTTTACAAAGTCCATTGCCCTTAGACACATATTACATGCTTTTTAATGTTCAGAAAAACAGCAAATATGGCAGTTGATGTAGTCTAGAAGACGAAAAAAAACCTCAAACGGAAATTTAAGAGTAAATAATTATTTTTACAGGCGCTTAAAATTTTTGTTTAAAAAAGAAATTTAAAGCATTATTTTTGTTTTTAGGTGTAGCTTTATAACGCAAATGAGGCATCCTAGAATTTAATTCAGATACTAATGGTAAGTTGTTGTTGTAGTTAATTTACGTCGCACTGGAGCTGCTCGATGGGCTATTGGCAACGGTGTGGGAAGCACCCCTGAGGATGATCCGAAGACATGCCATCACAATTTTGATCCTCTGCAGAGGGGATGGCACCCCTGCTTCGGTAGCCCGACGACCTGCACGCGAAGTCGAGCACTTTACGGTAGAACAGTTTAACGAGGACCAATACCGCACTCTCTCGGTCCCTACGCAGACTGATCCAAGTGGTCACCCACCCGCACAATGACCGTAGCCTGTGATGCTTTACTTCGGTGATCTGCTGGGAACCGTGTCTTAACGATCAGTCCACTGCGGGACTTATAACAATTTACTTTTTCGTTTGGTCATTAATTATCCTTGTCCCGCAGTAGACTGACTGATCGTTAAGAAAAATTTCCCAGTGGATCATCGAAGTCAAACATCACTAGCTGTGGTTAATTATGCTGATTTATCAAAACAATTTTTAAAAAAATGGTTGACTTTGAAAAATTCTAGTATAATAAAAAATTAACCAGGAATTATTTTTTTTAATCAGCAAACACTAGACGTACAGTGCTTAAAAAAAAAACGTTCTAAATAACTTTTGTTCTTATTATCAAATCTTCAAATACTAAGACTTATTCTTAATAGTTCGAGGAGTTGATGTCTAACATGCTAATTAATTAATTCATATCATAATTTGACTTCCGAACACAACCCGAAAACATACTTTCTCTGATTATACACACCCTTTTTTGACCAATTTGTTTTTCCGACTATCATCAATCATCACATAGGGGGTTGCCACAAGCTTGGAAATTTGGTCCTAATTGTTTAGTTAGGAGAGTGGTCCAATGTTTTGATGCTTTAATGTTAATTTCCTTTTTGCGCATTTCGCCTTACCTTGAGAAATTTTCACCCATTAAAAAATTTATTTATCCAAATATAATTCGAGGCAAAGCTAATTTTGGAAACAATTTAAAATCATCTTTTATTTTATTTATTAATTGCTAAAAAATAGCGTTTTTTGTCTAATACAAAAAATACAATTTTATAGAATGTTAATCGAGTTTTTTTGTTCAAATTTTAAATTGGACACAAAATTACATTCCTCAAAATGATGTAAAAATTTTTATACATTACAATTAAAAAAAAATTCGTCTATTATCAAATAAAGTCTGAAAAAATAATAAATATTTATGAATAATATAATTTTTGCCTGGAATTATATTTGGATAACCGAATTATCTCGAGTGTAATTTTTTTTCAATTTGTTTAAAAAATTCTAGAGATAAGACAAAACACGCAAAAAGAAAAATTAACCTTACCCAGTAAGTTAGGAAAGCAAATTTCCAAATTCAAATATATCTTGAGTATTGGGAGTTTTACTGAAGGCAGAAATTGTATTAAAGTAAGGGTGCTCTTTTTCCCTTTTGAAAATTCAATAAAGTTCACTTGCACCATTGTTAAACTAAGTTATTCCTTATTGTGTCACCCATCACCCCAATATGACCCTCAATTATTTAACTCAATAAGAGTTCAATTATTATTTAACTCCATTGTATTATTTTTTATCATAAATTAGAAATTATTTTTTCAACAATGTTATGAAAATAAATCTGATTTGTTTACAAAAATTGCTTTTTTTTTCAACTTTACAGGTTGAAGCGGTACCATACAGTGAGCATCTGTGTGTCTACCAATCCTTCTCTTGTCTTGATGCAAATAAATATTTGTAGTTTGTCTTGGTATTAAATTTTTTTTCTTACTTAAATTTTCGAAACTTGCGAAAATTTTTCAGAAATATTTTAAAGGTATTATAATATTTTTTCTTTATCAAAATAATATAATTTAAAAAGGCATCAGGAACTTCAGTTTGTTTTCTCTGCATTTATTTCGTTCCAAAGGAGATTTTATTAATTTTTGTTGGACAATTTTCTCATAATTAACAAATTTAAAACACGAGGGAAAATGTAATGAGCTTCCACTTTAAAATTAGATCATATATTAATGCGACACATTTTTCCTTTTACAACTCAAGGAAAAAATGCAAATGGTCCAAACAATTTCAGCACAATGTCGCGAGAAGAGACAATACAAATAATAGATGATAACTACTAGCTAGATAGATGATTTTATCGTATCCTTTTATAATTTTTAATTGAATTTACGAGGATTTTTAAAATCATTTGGTTATTTGTTGTATCTTGTTCCTAAAAATATTTAGATAGCATAAATTTTTTAGAATGTGGGGTGTTATAATATATTAATATATAATAACTTAAGGCATATTTTCAGCCCACCGCTTTTAATATTGTAAATGCTGTTCAAATTCAATTTTTTAAGCTAAATAATTTGCTTAAGCTTATTGTTGCAGATATTTTATATTTGTTTAAAAAAATTCGTTCATTTTATAGAAATGAGTGATTGGGGAAATACGATATTTTACTTTTTTTTTAACGACAAGCATTATTTTAATTACTATGGTTAGTTAATAAACTTATGGTTAATAATATAATAATCATACCATGGTTAGTTAATAACCTTCTTGTTTGCATAGAAAACATATTTTTATTCTCTGCTACAACTGACTTCCATATAAAAAAATGCATTGCATGTTTGAATGTAGTTAAAGGGTATTTAAGAATGTTGTTAATACCTATTATTAAAACGTTATTTTAAATTTAAAAAAGAGAACTTATGATAAAAAATTACTCTGTGCTTCTTAATGAAAGTTGTACAGTAATTATTAAATTGTTCATTTTTAAGTAATTCATGAATTTCATTTGAATCTTCTTCTTCTTCATTAAGTGTCAGCCCAGGATGGCGCCTGGCCTTCCTCAGAAACAAGTACCAAGCTGCCCTTTTCTTGGTCAAACTCTTCCACTCTATTGCTTTGAGAACTCTTAAATCTTTATCTAAGCAATTGATCCTCCGGATTATTAGTTTTCCCCTTTTTCGGGCTCCAACTTGTTTTGCATCGAAAATTTTTATGGTGGTCCGGTCATTATTTATTCTAATCAGGTGGGTTTATTTGAATATTCAGGACAATAGTATTAGAATTTAGATTCATATACGAATATGAGGAAGCAACGAAATGCACGACTAAACGTGTAGTTTTATTTCCACAACTTAGTCTCCTTGTAATAAAGTGTCATTGAATATTTTTATTGTAAAAAAAAAAGATTTACATAAGGGAGCTTTTTCACATATTACGAAAATGTCATGGAAAATAATATTGGAATTTTTAAGCGACGCAATATTCGTCATTTCCGTGTTAACTAAAGTTATTCACAAAGTCTGCTTTTCTTCACAAAATAAAAATAAATATTAAATAAATACATTAACAAAAATTATATTGTTTTCAAAAATTTAAAAATTTACCATACTTCGATGCTGCTATGTAGACCAGTAACATGCAAATTTATCTTTGACTTCTTTTTCTCCTGTTATTTTAAAATAATCACCATAATTAAAATACATAGATAGAAGCATAAATTAAAAGAAGTTCTCTTATTTTAAAAATAGTATGAACTAAGAATCCTAATTCATTGAAGAAAATAAATATATTTGTTCAAAGATTGTATGTTTTTTTTATGAATTCATAACTTTAAACGTCGCATATATTAATTAACTATAACATAGTTAAGGACAATTCATCAAATCATTGAGAATAACTTCTAATAGGCGAAAATCAAATAATCAGATCAAAAGTTAGTAAAATATTTACTCAGTTCTTTATTCCTTTGTGCACTGTGAGTACGAGTTTATTTTTTGCATTTGTTTGTCTAATAAAAATCTTTTCAAATTTTGACTAGTCATATTTGCGCTTGATTGTAAAGTTACACAAGTAAAAAAAAGCCATGCTGGATGATTTGCAAACGGTCCTGAGACAGAATTGCACTGATAAGTTAAAATAAAAAAAAAGGGGAAAAAAGAAAACAATTTGATAAATTTTTGAAAAAAAATCAATAAATGTTTTTTAAAACAATCAAAATATATGAGTCAGTCATTATGGATTAAATTAAAATAAAATTTAACAATTAAAAGTAGAATTTAAAATCGAAATCGGGACTATAGGCATGCTATTTTAAACAAAGCAGAATATTTTTCAACTCGTTGTGGGAGTACAGAATTTAAAAATAGTTGTTACACTTGTTGTAATTAATTTTTGTTGGTTAAGCATAATTTCAGGATAATGAAAATAATTGCTTAAAACAGCATGAAATATCTGGATTGCTATTTTAATGAAATCAAAATATTTTTCAGCTCTTTGTGCGTGTAGTCAATTTAGAAATAGTTAACGTACTTGTCAGAATTCGCTTTTGTTTTACGAATCATATTATGCTAAGTATGCTTTTTTCCTTAAAAAAAAAAGCTATTTAAGCACTTCCAAATTCTATTGATTTAACATTAAGTAGTAGAAAAAAGGAAGGGGCTCCATTTAACGGAGGAGTAAAAATCAAGAATCAAGAATACAAAAATCGAATGCCACGCGCTGTCACCGGCAGCACTGAAATAGTTGCAAGTAACAAATGTCCAATAATCTATTTGAAATAAATTTCTCAGAAACCGTTATGAAACACAATTCAGTCTTCTGAAAACAATCTATCAATAACGTGTAAACATGTTTCTAAACGTGCATTATGTGTATGATGAATAACATACTTGCCCACCAACGAGGGAGATGAGGGTTCGAACCCCGGAGGTGCTTTTTTGTACATTAAAAAATTATCAATTTTTTGAAATAAAATACTTTTTAAGAAAAAATATGTGTAAAAAAAGAAAAGATCGAATAAAAGAAATACAAAAAAAACAATCAATCAAAACCTCATACATTATTTCCAAATTTTAAACAATTATTGCCCGCTGAGAAACCCTTATTCTTTAGTAGAAGGGATAAGCATAAATAAACGGTGTAACAAAAAAAAAACAAAAAAAGAAATTCTAATACAAAAAAGAGAGCTAGTGATAAAATTGATCATTAATTATCATGGCCATCGAAACCTATATGAACAAAAAGTCAAAAAGTGTATGTGAAAAAACGTTTTCTGAAAAAAATTTCTTGAATATGAAGAAAAGGTTAAACAAATTGAATAAAGTGTAAGTAAAAAGAGTTTTGATAAAGGCAGTAAAAAGAAAAGAAAATTGAATCTATAGCATTGTTATAAATCGGAACTGCCGAATCTTGTATAGTATAGACAAAACTAGAATTAAATTGGAAAAAATTGGAACTCAATATGATGTCTATAAAGAAAATAGATAAATACTTGATATCATTTAGTGATAATTGAACTTCCTCTTAATTATCTTACTTCCTCTTTTATATATTTCATTTATATAACAAGGTGTATAACGCTCTGTTAATAATCGCATTGCTTGAGAAATGTAGATTATATTCTAAATCAAATTTTGACTGTGGACAGCACACAATACTTATCTTAACGCCAAATCAGTTTTTTTGTCATAACGTCAATTGCTTTTTAATTACTATTGGGTTTGGATCATTTTTCCTTTCATAAATAATAATATTTTACAACAAATATATATTATCCAATAAAATATATATTATCGTGTGAAATGTATATTTTCATATAAAATATGTATTATCATTCAAGATATATATTATGAGTGATAATATGTATTAGAATTGAAAATATAATTTTAATTGCTAATTAACATATATTATTTTAGTACTATTAAAGAAATTTCAAAAAAGATTAATTAAAATGTTCAGGGAAACTGTCTTTTAAAACATTTAAAATTCTCTTTGAACACTGAAATCAGACCTCCTTTCAGCGCTATAAGTTTTGATCTTTACCACGATGTTCACAAAGTATATCAGAGCAAAAATTTCCTATATTTAAAATAAGCTTTTTATTCAAATATATTCAAACAAGACTTCAGCGTCTGAATGGTTTAAATTTATTTCAAAAACCTTCAGTAAAGATTATTAAAGAAACGGTAGAGATTATAAAAATAAATCCATTTAGATACAAAATTAAAATAACCAAAATAATGTGTAGAAAACGGTATAAAACATACTTCTTTTGTCTGAAAACAATATATCAATAGCGTATAAAGGATTTTTTGCAATAGCTGTCTGTGTATGGTGGTTAGCGTACTCGCTCTTTAACAGAATGATAAGGGTTCGAATCCCGGAGGCGCATTTGTGTAAATCATCGAATTTTAGAAGAAAAAAATAATTTAAAAAAAAGTCACAAAAGGAAAAAAGCGAAAGTGTGTAGAAAAGAAAGAAAAAAAATTAAAGCCTCGTAAATTATTTCGAAATTTTAAAGACTTTTTACCCTCTGAAAAGCCCTTATTCATTAGCAGAAGGGATAAATATGGAGAAAAGGTTTTACAATAAAAAAAAGAAATTTTAATATAAAAAAAGAGAGCTGCTAGGAAAATTTGATTATTAATTATCATAACACCCGAGAGCACAATGTACAAAAAGATGAAAAAACGATTTCTCAAAACATTTCCTCCAGTACCAAGAAAAGGTTAAACTACTTAAAGAAAGTGCAGAAAAAAAGCTAGTGTACCAATAATATTTAGTAATAATATTTAGTTTTAAAACTTAAAGTTTTATAGCTTTTAAATTAAAGTGAAATTCTTTAAAAAAGGAATTATTCAAATATTAAGCAAGTTTATTTTTGACAAAAATATTTGTATGCAAGAATCTTTTTCCCGACTAATTTGTTAATTATAAAAATATTTCAAACTTCTAAAGAGGTTAAGAATAAAT